TATTGGATCGGGGCTTAGTTTAAGAGACGGGTCAAACTCACTTGAACTTATATTAATAAGTTATTAGGGTTTCAGAAAAATAGAAGAGAACAAAATTCATTATCTTGCTAGCACAAAAAAGAGAAATCATAATTCTTTCATTTTGTTCCCTGTGTGGATTTTCATTTTAAATTTGACAATTGTGGATTGCAGATCGTGATTGTTCACGTTCCAAGATCAGCAAAGGAGTTTGCAAAATCAACAAAGGTATATTTTCTATCATAGTTTCTTCCTAAATACAAAGAAGATCATTGATGAGAATTAAAATTATTTTATTTTTCACTGTACATGTTTAAGTAAATTCTCAATTAGACATGCCCTGTTTAAGTGAGAAAAACATTGAGAGTGCTATTGGGATAGGAGAAATAAGAGGGAACAAGCTGCAGAAGGAGCTTGAGCCCACACCTTATCTTACTAATGAGGTTTAGATGGAGGATGAACCTGAAAATATTTCTAATTCTGGAGAATTAGAATCAGGCAATGCAACAAAATATACTAGACGACTATCAATTGATCAAAGATAGGACTAGAAGGGAGATAAGGGTACCATCTAGATTTAAATATTATCTTTTCTCTTGTTATACTTTCTTACCAAGATCTAATTTTCAAAACAGCGTAAACCTTATAATGAAGTTGTAAGTAGTCAGCTGTCTAGAAATTGGCAATCTATCATGTTAGAGAATTAAGAACTGGATACTATTTCGTAGGCTTGCAGATAAATCCTTGTTGATTGTAAATGGATTTGCAATATAAAAGAAGGAAATTTAGGGAAAAGGCCTCCTACATTTGAAGCTAGACTAGTTGTTAAAGCTTTTACACAAAAAAAAAAAAAAAAGTGTATATAGATTATAATGAAATTCTCACATTTTGTTAAATATACTACTATTAGGGCGATACTTATATTGGTTACTCATTATAATTTTGAACTTGAATAAACGAATGTGAAAACTACTTTTTTGCATGGAAACTTGGAAGAAACTATCTATATGAGTTAGCCATAGGGCTTTATAGATAAGAAGAGTATTGATCGTGTGTGTTTGTTAAAAAAAAAAAAAAAAAATCTTTTAATACTTTTGTTGCATCTGTACATTTTATTATGAGTTCATTTGTTCATTGCTTATAGTTTAAAAATAAAAATGAAAATGATTTGATGGTTATTTGCTATTATATGTAGATTATATATTATTAATTGGACATGATATGAGTAACATAAATAAAATTAAAAGGCCTTGAAGCACAGAATTTTAAACGAAAGATTTAGGGCATGCTAGAATAATTCTTGGTGTGGACATTTAGAGGTGTCAATCCGGGGTCCGGGTCGGGTCGGCCCGCCAA